ACTGTGAGATATATCTTTTAACCAGTGTGCGTTCGTCCTTGGTCATTGGATTACCCCCCTTTACCCCGTACACCTTTCTGCGGAGGCGCGGAACGGTGTGCGGGGTACAGGGGGCGAAATATAATATGAAAATATCGCTCGGTCGATCGAAAAAATATTTATAGCTTGAGATGTAATATATATTATAGCTCGGTGTAAACGGTTCCATATGAAATGTATGGTGAGCGATATTAATTTATATCTCGAGATGTAATATATATTATATTATATCCCATAGTGAAAAGCGGGCTTTACGCTCTCTATTACAAGTTAGTTTCGAGAGAAGATCATAGATGCCGCAGGCAGTAATATATTACACCAAAAGTTGAGTGTTCCAAATTTGTCACGGTATGCGGTAAAGGGTTAAAATTAGAAGTGAGTCGGTTTTTGTGCCGGTCAGTGTATTGTAATATAATGCTTTTTATTAAGTTTTAATCTCATCATACTCATTACAGCCTTTCATAAGTCCACTGCTGTACATAGGCCTCCCCCAAGTAATGCCACAAAGCACGGTCCTGAGCCACCTGCATCCATCGACTTCCTGCATGTCTGACCAGGTCGTCAATCCATCTAGTGCGGGGTCGCCCTACACTTCGCCTACCGGTACGAGGCTGCCACTCGAGAAGCTTTCTTCCCCATCGGTTGTCGGTTCTTCGAGCTATATGACCGGCCCACTGCCACTTCAGCTTACTAATCCATTGGGCTATGTCGGTTACTCTGGTTCTACTGCGGATATCCTCATTTCTAAGTTTATCACGCAGAGAAACCCCGAGCATAGCCCTCTCCATAGTTCGCTGAGCGACCTTGAGCTTCCTCATACGGCCAGCAGTGAAGGACCACGTCTTGGATCCGTAAGTCATCACTGGCAACACGCACTGGTTGTACAATTTCGTTTTCAGGTTTTGAGGTACGTCTAACGAGAAGATGTGGCGTAGTTTCCCGAACGCTGCCCAGCCGAGTTGAACCAATTAAACTGTACTGACAAAAATGTAATAGTAATAAAGTTTTTGCAATTCACGAAGTCAAGCGGGCTTTACCCGTGGTTGAACATGTGCATGCAAATTGCGATAGCGTGCGTGTCTGATATAGTCATGTAGTGATCAGTTGCGAACGTGCCGTCTCAAACCTCATAGTAATTACTAGCATAGAGGAAATCCCAAAATAAGAAAAAATTGATTGTATATCGATTACGAACATATTACCTTGAGATATCGATCATTCATCATTCATTAATTACGGCCTATAAAATGTCCACTGCTCAATATTTGTCATAGTTCCCTCTATTAGCAAGTGGGTTGGCAACCGCATTTTTTTATTATTTTAAATTGTTATTATGAAGAGACTGCTGCCTATCCAGATTCCGTTTCATTTCCCTATGTCCCCTTTTACGATACTCACTTATTTTAGGATTCCCTCTATGCTAGTCATTACTCTGAGGAACATAGATATTGAGATATTACAGTTTTTTGCACTTTGCACATATTATATTTTATACGGTTACCATGGAACCAACTGTAAGAGAATGCCCTCTGCAATTAAGTCCTTTAAGAGCGAATATCGAACAACCGACAACCGAAAACCGATGAGGAAGAAAGGTTCTCGAGTGGCAGTCTCTTAAGCGAGGAGTAGGGCGCCCTCCCACTAGACGGAGTGACAAACTGATGAGATGCAGGGCGTTGATGAATGCAGGTGACTCATGACCGTGCTTTATGGCATTCCTTGGGAGATACTATGTTCAGCAGTGTACTTATAATGGACTGTAATAGATGTGAAAATAAAGCTTCAATAAATAAATAAATTTATTGTAAAGAATGTGCAAATAAATCTAACTTACTAAGAAATAAATTCAGTACTAGCTAACTTAAGCAACATCAAAAGCGCTATTGCGAAATTGCTTTCTTCTGATGCCACAAAAATGCTTTTATGCTAATTCCACTATGTGCGATTCTCATCGTCATTTAAATAATTTTTTGAGGAAGGCTTAAAGGTTTAATACATGAATTCATATTTTTTATAAGAATAGTAGACATGTTTAGCATTTAGTGTCAAGTTGTTAAAACAATGTAAACCAATAATTTGTTTGTAAGTGAACATTGCAGCATTTATTATTTCATTAAAATGCCGGGATATGCACTGACTGATTTGCAACCAGTAAACTAATTAATATAATTAGATTTAACATTATCGGAATTTACAAATAAAGATCAAGAGTCAGAGAGTCAAACGATGTTAACATGTAATTTGAGATCTGTGTACTTTGACTTTCAAATGAGTACATTTAACATTTACTTACTACAGCTAACTGACAATTTATCCAAAATTCGAAGTGCTTACTTACATACCGTGCCAATATTAACACAAGGAAACTTTTAATTTTCATAACATTTATTCAAGTAGAGGTGAGATGACAAACGAGACGATAGAATTTTTTAAACTTTAACGAAACTTATTTTACAGACATACACAATGTATGTGTACAAATGAAAACACAATGCATTTTCTTTACTATTTCAGAATTACAAGCCTGGATTAATAGCAGAACACCTTGAACGTAATGTATAGTCAAGACGTTTTTACAATATGGTATCAAATATTCTACAAATAGAACTTAATTATAGTGCCACGTTAAAAAAAATCTATAATGAAAACTATTTTATGGTATTAATATGCTATTTTAGTAACGATCATAAGAACGTTTAAATCTGCAAGTTATGTTTAGTTGATAAAAGATGTCTTACAAAATATGTACTCTATCATTGGCACATATTATAAACAACTATCATATGTTTAAAATCTAGTGTATAGTAGGGCCAACGAGACGAGATAAATAATGCAAGGATGCTGACTTTACCGAGTTGCGTAACGACTGCAAGCGATTAATGTCTCTGCCTTTTCCCAAGCATTATTCTTCAAAAAAACTTCAAAAGTTTTCGCTAGATAATTTAAATAGTATGTAAAAGCGGTAGCTGCAATTGCAATTATTATTTGAGGATCTACTTTGCACATAGATTTCTTGTTGGTTGAAATGCATTCGAGTTTCCGCTTTTTATTTAACTACATTTGTCATACATAAGCTAGTTATTGAAATTGTTATTATTGAGGTTGGTTTCGTTTCTGTGTTTTATCAACCGACTTCAAAAAAGGAGGAGGTTCTCAATTATTTTTAATGCATGTTCATCGATTACTCGAAGACGCCTGAACCGATTTGGAAAATGATTTTTTTTGTTTTATAGATTATACTGTCCAAGTGGTACCGTATAAATTTGATCAAAGTCTGACTAGTAGTTTTTGAGTTGTCCTTAATAATTTATATTGAAGTCGGTTGTACAATTTTTTTTTTAATTTACCATTTGTTTAACTATAGTTGTCATAAGCTAGTTATAGATATTGTTATAGGATTGATTTGAATATTGCAGAAAAGTTTATAATATGTATAATAAAGGTAAAAATAAGATTTGTTCAACAAAAATGGCCAATATAAAAATGTGTACGCAACCCTGAAATTTATTTTCATTCTTTATCTAGTTACGCTGGCCTTGCCATAAGCGATACTGAATGATTTTATTATGAAATAAAATCATTCCTTTCAGTTCAAAAATCACTTACAGCTAATTACAATGTAGGTACTACCGGAATATTATATTCCGAATAATATAATAATATACAGAATTTTTACACCATGGACACATTCATTATACCTGCTCTATTTGCACATTTTATAACAAAAATACAAATTACTTGTATAAACACTAAGTATGTACTTAAATGGCAATTGTTCATCAATGCAAGAGTTTAAAAAATACATCAATACAGTAGAAATAGTGCATTTGTATGTGCACATATTTACAAGGAAAATAATAATAATTAATAATATATTATTATTTTCCTTGTAAATATTTAATAAATATTTAAATCATTGCACATAATTTAATAACATCAAATATGTACTATGTGATGATAAATAATAGAACACTTTCTGTCTTCAAGACCAGTTTCAAACGTAGTCAGTCGTCTTTAATTGATGTTGTTCATGCAACTAATTGGGTAGGTACATAAAGTCATTTTCTAGAAAACAGTTTGGTATGGTATATTTTTTTATGATTGCGAAAAATCTAATCTGTACTTGTTTCACACACAAATTGTGTTTAAATGAAATACTGTTTAGATTAAGCAGTTGATCTAATTACTACGATTGTACGAGTATATATTACTATCATCTTTAGGTTATTTGAAGAAAAATACAGGCCATCCGTATATTTTAGAATTAGAATGCCAATTTTATCATCGAAAAATAAAACTGTTAACGAGTTACTCCATCTAAAAGGGATAAATTTGAGTAATTCTATAGCTAAACATATTTAAGTTTAAGTTTTTTTTTTTTAAGTTATAAGTTCTACTCTAACAGTTTAATTATTTGCAAAATATAAAACTATACATTTAAAATTTATTAAAAATAAACTTTTCAGTCATTTAAGCCATTGATGCAGATTGTAACAGATTAATTAGTGAATAAATGGCAATTATTATATAACAGTTAGGTATATGAAAATGAATTACCATTTTCATGTGATTAAATAATTTCTGTGGCAGACAATATGGTACTTACTTTGACACAATTATTGTTTTTGTACAATCTTGTTGAAAATATAAAACAAAAAATATAATATTATGTACATCACTTTTTGTTCTTACTGTAACTTACATCATTGTTCTTAATTTTAGTAGAGAAAATACACCAAATATTTTTCACGATTCCTCTACAAAAAGCCAAAAAATACTTACATAATAAATAATTTTTCTAACCTGGCACTTCACTGCGGAATGCACTTCATAGTTATTTCATTTTCATTCATAACTTTAAATTGCATGGAGCTCTATTATAACAGGACATTACAATGCATTTTTAAAATACATTCATATGCTCAAGTTGACTAGAGTCTCGAGTCTGTCAATTTGTCATGCTATGAGAACGCCGTTCCGTTCTTTTGTGGCGGACGAGTAAATATCACTTCTTCATCGTCCGCGTTGACGCTCACCGCAGTAGTGAGCGCGATCGTGTCACTGTGCACCACGTGTGGTGATTCATTGAATTCATCTAGCTCTTCTATGTTCGCTGTAATAGTTGTAGAAGCATAATGATTAGTAATAATTTCATTTCAAATAATTATTAATGTAAACTTCCTTAGGAGTCAGTCTGAATTAGTATCGCCGTTGTCGTTGATTCGGACTACCTATAGTTATTTTTTAATCTTCGCCCGATGGAATTAGTTTTATTATATTTGTAGTTAATTAAAGGGCGCGGGGATCATGGGAGACAGAAAGTTAACTTAACTTGCTGTGATTGTAGAGTCAGCTAAAGTAACTGAGGAATTTCATCTTAGCCCTCAGGGGTGAAAACGCATCTGCATTTTGATTCATAACTCAAGAGAAATAAAGATGTCTTTGAGCCACAAGCATCCACTTACCATCCAGAGGACAGAGTGGACGTTTGTCAGCCTTAGGCCCTTCGCACACGGCGTCGTATCGTAAGCGTATCGTAATACGCGCGTAGGACGAGAGCAATACGAGCGCGTACATGTTCAAAAAAGTCCGCACACGAAGCGGTGCTGCAGCGAATCGTAGGAGGTGTCTACTGTCATTACAGTGCACTGGTGTAAAAAAATTACTGTTCATTAATTTCTTTAAAAATTTAACTGAATTTAAATTGTTTTAACTTCTTCCGATTTTAATTTCAATAGGTATGAATAGGACTGAAAAAATGATTGAACTCATGAAACTGGTGAAGCGTTCCCTGGTCTATATAATCATTCATTAAAGTGAATATTCAAGAAAAAATGTAACGTATAAAGCTTGGGCAGAAATATAGCTTTCTACTTCTTACATAATCAAACAATAAAAAATCCTCTTCGTCTAAAGAGAAAGTAAAATAATCTATCAATCCACCCAACACATCTGGTACCGTGACGCCATGATTTCAACTGAGATCTTACAAAACGATACGTCTACTCGACGATTCGTTTGTAGAGCACTGCAGGTCTTGTACGCGTTGCGTCATAACGATACACTTACGACACTTACGATTCGGATAAAGGCATTTACATTTTATACAGAAAATAATTCTGATCATAATGAAACATTTTTTTATAGCAGAGGGGGCAAACGAGCATGCGGCTCACCTGATGGAAAGTGTCGACCGCCGCCCATGAACAACTGCAACACCAGTGGAATTGCAGATGCGTTCCCGGCCTTTGAAAAAGGAGTAAACTCGTTTCTTGAAGGTCCCTAAGTCGTATCGGTCCGGAAAATCGCCAGTGTACACACAAATTAGTCGTGCGAGGAAGAAAACTCCCAGTAAATCGCACAGTAGTGGACCGCCAAGTATGCAGATGATGCGGATGGAACGTAAGTTTTGTCGTAATGTGCAACATCTCTTCGCAGCGCCAATGAGTCGAGCTGATCGGAAAGAACTCGGTCGTCGACGATTAGAGCTGCTCTGCGCTGGATACGGTCAAGTGGAAGGAACTGGCACTGGGGAGCCCCAGCCCATAGATTGGAACAGTATTCTATGTGGGGCCGAACCAGCTCCTTGTAAAGCTGCAAACCGCGCTTTGCTGAGCAAGCCAAGTTTTTTAGACGACAATTAGGCCTTCTCTTCCTAGTGACCACAAAACAGCACATCATTCGATATGTCAACGCCAAGGATTCCGATACTGGCTGAGGCAACAAGGGGAGTGCCTTGAACTGAGGAGATACGACAAAGGCGCTCTTTTTAGCGGTATACGCGCTAACTTGTGTCTTCTAGGGATTGAACTGGACTAGATTTAGTCGCCCCCAATCCGAGACTTTGTTCAACAAAGACTCGACTTCAGACAAGTTTGTTCAGGTACTCGGCGACGTTTTCCCGAGAAATATTGGCACGGCCGGTATATAACGCATCACCAGTGCTGTCGTCTGCATAGCAATGAATGTTACCGGTTTACAACATATTATTGATATGTAGAAGAAACAGCGTTGGTGATAACACGCAGTCTTGTGGAACACCAGCATTAATAGGCTTGTAATCGAAGCACGTCTACTACGACTTCAGAAGCCAGAAGATCACCGGCTGAGCGACCTCGACGGAAACCGTACAGCTTTACTTATCTTCACTAATCAGCTTGTTATCCTCAAGGTACCTCATGAGCTGGCAGTTTATATATGTGTACATACAGATAGTGCGCGAGTTGAAAGCAGAGCTCAGGAATGCGATAGTGCTGTGACCTAATTAAAACTAATGAGGACAATATGTCGATAAATTTCAACATTGTTTTAAGTTTAACGTTTTAAGTTCAGAAAAAACAAGATAATAATTATCACACATTTTTTATTATTTTACACATCAAAATCAATTAAAAAAAAATTGTAATTTATGCAGCATCAGATTCTGAAATGGCAGACTTGGTTGAATCGGTGTCACTATCCTCACCATCGCTAACCTCAATTACGAATCGATCTATGGTATCTTCCATTAATCCATCTTTTTGCCAATAATTTTCTTCTAAAATTATGACGTGATCGTCGAAACCACGCCAATCTTCCTCTGTGACCTGAGAGAGAGCCAGCTCCGTAACTTCTTTTAACCTTTTTATGGAGAAATCAGAAGTAACATTGTGATGCCTTACAATTCTTTTTACTTTTGTCCAAGCCAACTCAATAGGGTTAAGGTCGCACATGTACGGTGGTAGTCTTATTACGATATGGCCTTGACTTCTGATGAATTCATCGATTTTGAAAGATTTTTCCGTAGGTTTACGTAACTGAACCAAGTGAAAGAGCTGATCTTTTCTCATAGTAAGTGAAGCTTCGATATTGTTCTTGGTTAACCATACCAACATTACTGATTTGGTGCTGGACTTTGTTGGGACTTTATTTTCTTGTACACTATGATACGGTGCGTTGTCCATCACAACAACGCTGGATTGTGATAGATTAGGGATTAACATAACAGTGGCCCACTTCTCAAAATTAGCACTGTTCATCTGTCCGTGATAATCAACTGACGTAGTACCAGCCTTAAAAAGTAACTTTGCACCATTTAAAAACCCTCCTCTCGATCCTGCGTGGACAAGAATGAGCCTGTTTGTGGAGCTTGTATCCGTCAATACGGCGTCGATCATTTCATTTCTCCAGCATTTTTTAAATGTGAGGTTGTTGTCTACCCATGTTTCATCGAGAAAAAAAATATTTCGATCTTCTTGCCTATATTTACGAATTTTCCGCAAATAAATTGACCGTGCATATGCGACAGCTGGACTCTCCACCAAAATTTTACGTTTATTATGACATTTAAGCCATCTATATCCCATGTCTTTAACAATTTTCTTAAACTCGTCACTCCCCATGGAAACTCGATTTTTTCTCGAATAGCTGCGAGGAGTTTAATGCAGGTCGGAACAATTTTTTTAGTTAAATAAAATTCTTCAATAATTCTATGTACAACATCTCGATCAAAATCATCGACGTTTAAATTTGTCTTCTTGTTACACTGTGTTGTCTTTTTAGAAGGCGAACAAAGAGGCCCTTTTTTGGCTTCATTTTGAATTGCAGACAATGTTCTCTTCGAAAGTCCAGTATAACGGCTTGCGCGATCGTAAGCATTATTTAATGTGAATGTTAAATTGTTGTTCTGCCTTTCTTTAACACACATGTCTAGAACATTTTTTGCCATTTCCCGTGCTTGGCGATGAATAAAAACTCAGACATCATTAAAAACAAAAATAACAAGCGGCTGCAACTTTATATTAACACGATAACACAGTAAGCGTATGATAGTTGTCAAGGACAGCACAGCACTACACTGCAGGCGCGCGAGACGCGGCGCGCGGACGGCGGGGGGAGATGCTCCCGCTCTTCACCTCAGGCCCCGACGGCATTCAACTCGCGCGCTATCTGTAGTATATTATGTCATTCGGTTTATTTCTATCTGTGAAAGAACTATCAGAGAGTACCTCCTACAAATTTATTTACAAAAAACTTTACCTCTAAATTATATCAATGTAGAAGTTTAGGTGTACATAAATCAGTTAACTTGCTTATCTCAGCTCGGGTATGGCTTATGTATATGAGTATATTTGTCTTATCTTTATAACAGGGTGAATAATTTGCAGGTTAAATTGACTTTAGAAACTGCTGTAACATACAACCTTAATGTATATAATATAAAGTAATTTTTTCTACCTGTGTAGTCTGAAGAGGTTAGAAGTAAGTACTGCTCGGAGCGTGTCGGCCAAAGCAAATGCGCCATGACACAAAAGGCGAGGCAATCCGCTGAGTACGTTATACCTGAAAGCAGATTCAAAGGTTTGAAGAAGATAATGAAATCTACAGGGCCTATTCACTAACTCTGTTGACATCAAAATGTTAGTCACTTTGCGGTAGCTTTGGTAAAAAAGCAACTACAAAGCGACTAACATTTACATTTATTCACAATAGAAAGGGGCCAAGAATTGAGCCCTGAGGTACGCCCATTTATACTATCGACCTGGAAAAACTCATACTGTTAATGACAACTTTTTTGCGTTCTGTTACTTAAATAACAAAAAAATATTTAAGAGCATCACTTTTTACACCGTAGTGTTGAAGTTTCCTGATTGATGTTTTATGGTGAACATAAACAAAGGCATTGGGTAAGTTACAGAATATACCCAAAGCATCCTGTGAATTCTTCCATGTATTGAAGATACTTAAATCCGCTCATCACCAGTATCAGTTGTCAAGCAACCCCATGTGAAACTGAATTGATTTTTATGAAGTAAATTATTAACATTAAAAAAATTAACATTTCAATAATAACACAATTTAAAATTAAAAATTTTGTATAGCCGACTTCAATATAAATTATTAAGCAAACTCAAAAACTATTGGTCAGACCTCGATCAAATTTATATCGGACCACATGAGAAGCACCAGCTTTCAAATAAAAAAGATTAATCATCAAAATCGGTTCACACAGAAAAAAGTTTTGAGGTAACACACATAAAAAAACATACAGTCGAATTGAGTACCTCCTCCTTTACTTAGTGAAATTCGACAGAAAATTTTACGTAGTGTTGGCTGTACAGAAATAGGTCTAAAAATGATACTTCTGTTCTATCCTGTTTAAGAAAACATCAAGATCGCGAAAGGCGTAGGTATTTCTGTCAAATATGTTCTATTATAAATAATATTTTCTTTATAATATTACTTTAATTTTAACTTACCTAGTAAAAACTTGAACCTCCACAGAGGACTGATTTGTAATGCTATTAGAGCTATGATCGGCAAGTAAACGAACCAAACCAGGCTCGATGCGCCGAAATGTAATAGGAAATTGAGCTTGGTTATGTTGTGCTCATATATCATTGTGTTTCGAAGCTCCAGAATGAACCACACCATAATAACAACGCGCAATGTGAGAATCAACCAGCCTGGCCATGTTTGATACTCATCAATTTCTTCTATAATATCCACTTCCGTCTGAAAATTAAGATGAAATATATTTAGTAGTTTCGTGTATGATAAACCGCATGCATTGTAAGTGGGGTATTTTGGGCAGTAAGATCTGTTTCAAGTATGAAGCCCGATTGGTTCGTTGCCATTCAGTAAGCAATGATTGGTGCATTCGCCGTACGATTTAATACCTATACAACCATGTTATTGGTTGAAAATATGCTTAGATAACAACTCTCCGAAATGAGAGGAGACGTGGGCCAATAAAAAATGGAGTAAGACATATATAGGCTGTACCTTTATTATTTTATAGATTGGAAAAATAAAGTTAGACTATGAAAACGGCACAGAAATCATGTAACTGCCAATTACTGACTGGAGAGCTATTTCGTTGCATGATAGCTCAAAAATACAGGGAGCAATGTGGAAGCGGCCAATGTATTGTACTGCTAAAAGTTTCAACCGTGGCAAATATTAAATTTTTCCTAAAAGGAGAAATTAACAACCGTATAAAATCAGGAAAATAACATGGCATTCGATTAGTGGCGAAATATTAGTTTCAAAGGGATTGTAAGAACGAAGATGCATTCCACTTATTTGTAATAATTGAATAAAGTCGCCCAAAATTACGAGTATTTGAAACGTCATTTTTTTCGCTACCGAGTAATGTTCCTGGAGACTTCCATAAGTAGAGGTTTTTAAATTGTCTGCATGGAGAAAACCTTCCAATGTCGGGATTTTGGAGTTGATTTCTATTATTCAAATCAACTTTTTACTTAAAAAGACTAATGCCCAAATACTCCATCACTTTAATTCAAAGTGACTGTGACTTGTCTTGTCTTAAAATTGAGTAGCGTTCGAGTATTTGGGCGTAAATATCATTAATAATTAACAATTTTAAGAACATCTAAACTCTTAATACTAATAAAGCTAGCTAGCGCACTGGCTAAGCGTTTAGCTGCAGCGTGCGTTGGCTTTTATAGCTTCATGAGACTTAGTAAGGTGTTAAGTTGGAAGTCTCAACGTCAAATGAATTTCTGGATAATCCAGACGAATCTCGACAATCTGATATTATCTTTGACCTTAGAAATTAACTCTGTAATTTAACCAATGAGCAAATCGGCAACAAATGAGCCAAATTAAGAGAATGTTTAAGCGAAGACCAACAAAAACAAACAATAACAGGTGTGTCAGTATTGTGCCAAATGGAATTCCGTAGTACGCTCTGGGTAACGAGCGTGATATTTTATGATTACGATAGTGACTGTTTAAAATTGAACTCTTATTGAAAAGTCAGTCGATCACTAAAGTGTGTATGTCAGTTGAAGTTGGCCTTTGGAATCCCTAAAATTCACGATGGCTATTGCAATGATATTAAATAATAGTAATAGGAGTGTAAAGATTAACATTGTATTTATATACTCACTGTGTTCCAAACATAAAGCAATATATGAACTATTCCATATGCAAGCCAAACTCCAAACACGAGAGGTTTGTATGTTAATTCCAACCTGGTTACAGCCCACCCCTTGGCTAATAATAGTAGCAGTAGCATAAACAGTGTCTGAAAATGGTTTTAAAAAATAATGTATACGAAACTTGTATTATTGTATTATTTTACATAGAATTTATACCCATTTACACAAGGCCCCCCGACAAATTTTGATACAGGGCCCCTCTAAGGCACGCTACACCACTGATGAGGACCCAATTTTCTTGACCCTACTGCCACACACCTCCGGTTGTGATCGTTGATAGCCCCTCAATAATATGAGTTTAGTCGCAGTGGGTTAAAGTGGGTGAGAGTAGATGGCAAATATGTGTAATTAGATACATCTATCGTTTTCTAACACAATGTATTTATTATATATCCATTCAGTATGTCGGAGAGTAACATTAATGTATTAAAGGTTTCCAGAAAGTTGTTCAAAAACACTAATAGCCGTTATTAAAGAAAAAAGTTCGATGCACCTGGGGTGGAAAAAGTACAAAAATCTATGTGATTATAACGAGTTCAGGTTACTGAGAAATAGGCAACATAAGATACAAAAGGAATATTATAATTTCTACGTAAAGAAAATGCAAGAAGGTATTATAAAGACTCCCAAACTATTATGGACGTATATATTTAATTTAAACGATTAAAAGCCACTGGTTATCCAAAAACTCTTCTTTTAGGCACAAATAAATATACAATAGATGAAGAAATCTGTAAAGGGTTTAATGAATACTTCGAAAGTGTATTTATAGATCCAGCCCCATTATACAAATTTTTCTCTGCAACTGCAGTTAATAATAAAGTTGAGTCTTTTAACTCCTTAACAATTACGAAAGAAGAGGTGTAAGTGTTTAAAAAATTTAGAGAGTTGTAAAGGGCCAGGCAGTGACAAAATACCCCTTATTTTCTTCAAAAACTATGCTAATAAACTTACTTTGCCACTAACCATATTATTTAATAAATCTTTAAGTGAAGGCGTTTTTCCATCCAAATGTAAAGAAGCGCACATCATTCCTATCCATAAAAAGGCACTAAAACTAAAATCGACCATTATCGTCCGATCTCTATCCTAAATACATTAGGAAAGTTATTGGAGAAAATTCTATATGCCAATTTATAACCAATTGTAGCACGAGCAATTCCTAATAAACAACATGTGTTTATGAGCAATCGTTCTACTTCTACTAATCTTAGCATTTTTACCAACGATATATTAAACAGCATGGATGTAGGTGCACAGGCTGAAGTGATCTCTACGGATTTTGAAAAGGCGTTCGACAGAGTGGATCACGTTATCTTGTTGCATAAATTACAGGTATTAGGTATCAACGGAGACTTACACCGCTGGATAAAATCATATATATCTAATAGGAGACAAGCAACAATTGTTGTAGTAGTGTAGATCAGATTTTATAACTATAAAATCTGGAGTACCACAAGGTTCTCATTTAGGCCCACTCCTCTACAATGATTATCTATTTGATATACACTCATATCTTAGGCATTCTAAATTTCTAATGTTTGCTGACGACAAAAAAGTTTACTGTAATGTAAGAAAAATTGTATACTCCATCAAAATGACTTAGAAAACTTAGCAAAATATTATAACATTAATAGAATAAGCATCAATGTGGAGAAGTGTAATCAAATAACCTTTACACGTAAAAAAATCCGGTATTATTTCAATATACAATAAATAATATTGTCCTACAAAAATCTTGTGGAGTTAGGGATTTAGAAGTAGTTTTGGATTCCAAGTTCCATTCCAAAAATCTTGTGGGGTTAGTGATTTAGAAGTAATTTTGGATTCCAAGCTCACAATGGTGGACCATATAAACTACATAACAGAAAAAGCATATAAAATGCTAGGTTTTGTATTTAGAGTGCATAAACGCCATTTACTTTGCATATGTAAGAAGCTTTCTCGAATATGCGAGCTATGTATGGTCTCCACAGTACACAAAGCATATTGATGCCATTGAATCTATCCAGAAAAAAATCATTAAATACCTAAATTTCAAAATGGATCAAAATTGTGTTATCTAGGAAGATAGCTGTCGTTTTTACGATTTCTACCATTAAGAGATCGGCGCGAGTTGCTCAATATATTATTTTTGCATAGATTGCTCACAGGTCAAATAGATTCTCCGGAGCTGCTATCGATGATCGTCGCTTAACGTAACTTTAAAGCGCAATCGTCACACAAATAAACGTTTATTCCATGTACCTTTGTCGCTTACCAGTTATTCATCAAACTCAATTCTGTCTAGGATATAAGTACAACACCAAATTTTCCGATATAGATCCCTTTAATTCGACCACATAAAGTTTTAACACGTCGTCACCAAAAAGCTTATGTAACATCACAATATTGCATGTTAATTTATATGATACTAAAGCATTTTACACACACATACCTCCACACACACATACACTCACAATCACACACGCACACACGCATATATACACACATTTTATATATATACACAATTTACAAATATATATAAAATAATAAATGTTCCAACAGTCTTACTATCAGAATATTCTCATATATTTCAGAACAATGTTGAAAAATTAACTAGAAAATCGCAGAATGTTTGGTGATATTATGAAATCATCTGGAATGTTTCCCAGTGCACAAATATGTTTTAAATTTTAGGTACAAGAATAATATTGAATTTCAACGAATGTTATATTAGAGGTTCCATAATTTTACAAAATTTCGCAATTAATCAATAGAGTCAAGAATTAAAAAAATAGTTTTGTAAATTGCTTATATTGTATAATAACAATTTATCCATACCTAACCCTACTGTAAGATTTAAAAGCCTGGCATACCCTCAAAAATTCACTACACCGATAAACTAATTACGAGGTATTTTCGCGCGCTTTATTATCTGTACTGTAACAATAGTAAACCTTTGTTTTAAATTGAATGAAGAATTGAAATTGAAAGAAATGTGAAATTTTGTGGAATTTTAGTAAATTTGCGTATTTTAATGATAGTAAATGACTGATATTGCTATGAGATTTTTAAAATATGCATAAACTTTAATCGATAAATAAAGATAATGTTTATTTATCTTTATATATAAAAATTACGTGTCACGTTGTTTGTCCGCGATGGACTCCTAAAGTACTGAACTGATTTCAATGAAATTTTGCGCACTGTGTGCATTTTGGTCCAACTTGAGAGATAGGATAGTTTTTATCCCGATAAATGACCCTCAAAATTCTGGCGAGCTAGTATTTTATAAAAACAACCATAACTTCGCCATAACCTCTGCGTGTTTTGTATTTCTTTTTAAAATTTTATGAACATTTAATAGATACATATCAACTCATTTGGTTGTTGATTACTCACATTCCAAACAGTTCTATGTTCCTGTTACTTACATGTATTTTCTCGAATGAGAAGATAGTTTGGGATACTTTTAGTTATAATTAAATAATTTTAAGTAGTTTTAAGTCAAAAAAAATTAGGCAAAAACATTATTTATATTTGTAAGTTTGTTTGATGGCAAATAAAAATATCTATCTTGTCTATCAAACTATCTAAAGAAATATCTGAACAAAATTCGCGCGTTGTTTTTCAAAAAAAAAACAATAAAATTTTATACCTATATACCTGTCACGACATTAAGGTACGTTGGGGTAATACCGGACGGATTTTCGAATAGCTGGAAGAGTCTGCCAAAAACTTTAATTTCTCGACATTCGTATACGTCAGATTTATGGAACCTGGAGCAAACCGTTAATCGTTAAACGTAGTTTAGCTCTGAGAATCTTTTGCTTGTGTAAACTCAACGGTTTCTGCTTTAAAGGTGTGCGAAAACTAGACATACTTTTTTATATGCATAATGAAAAATTGGCCATTAAGGGGTAAGATCGGACTTAAATTTAAAACCACTTCTACTGCTTAGAGAAAAAAGTTTATAAAAGAGATTTGTCCTATATTTAACGCTCAAAAACATATTTCAATATGATCTATAAATTACTAGAAACATAAATGTTCCAAACAATTTTCTCTTTTTTTGTTTTTTGCCATCCGATCTTATCCCTGATATAAAGAAATTGTAATTTTATGTTTCTCAAACTTTGTTATGACATAAGATGGAATTACTCAATATAAGAGAAAGATCGGATGCATTTGATTTTATATGGGAAAAAAAATAACAGTAAGGACTGGCGAAATGCCCTGGGATAATGCAGGAGTTAAGGAAGATATAAATATTTTAACAAACGGCATTTATTATTATAAATTATTTTTTAAATAATTATTATAAATTACATTTTGATTTGTAATAGAGGATAGATATAGATGTCTATGGGCCGCAGTAATCACTTAACATCAGGTGGACTGTGTGCTCCTTTGTCACCCTTATCCTATATAAAATGTATTTTAATGTGTACTTAAAAGTAATAAAACCATCGTATTGTTTTATTACTTTTAAATATACAGACTTGCTAACGAGACTGAGTCCCATAGTCACTTGAGTAATCAACGAAAAAATATACACGACCAATGAAAGTTTAACAACCACTGCCCTATTTGTAACAGGCAAAGATCGGATAATATTCATCCGATCTTCACTCACGAGGGGAAACATCGGATCTCGGCCTACAGCGATCTTAGCCCTGCATGGACCAGCTTTATTTAGGTATAACTTCATAAAAATTAGTATCCACACAAAATAATAACAAAAGAAGCCATATTCTCGCTAAAAATCGTAAATAAAAGTGATAGGGAAAGATCGGATGGACAAAAATAATACAAAAATTACATTGTTTTATAAAATGCCACGCAGCACAGGTCCCACTTGCCGGAGTGACTGGCGCGAACTGAGGTTCGGGGCAGGATGAAATGGCGTCGTGTAGCATATTGTTAGCTTTTCAAAATATAGCATAATTCGCCGGGAATTTGAATCCTACGGTCTTGCCCCATCACCGATCTTACCCCAACGTACCTTAATGGTTAATGCCATTACCAATATCTATAGTGATAAATCAAAATATGTTATTTTTGACAGAAATCTTTATGTTACAAATAGATAACAATTAGGCATGGAATATGAATATGAAACTACAATAGAAAATTCTAGAAAGTTATTAAGGATTCTAGTAGATGACAGATTATTATCTTGTATTTATGCCAGATATATAAAATATACAGGCCTGAATCTGGAAAATAAAAAAGTTGGGCTTGCCCTTTAACAAGACCCTGTGCACACCACTGCCTTATAACATAGTGTACAATAATTTCAGAAAATCACGTCAGTTCTATAGGTACACAAAATATGTTTCGTAGTACTTACCCTGCTCATGATATCAATTATATCTCCAGCCACAGACAAATTTTCAAATCCTATACCATCCGCTGCAAATTTAACAGTGTGCAAAACATTGAAACATAATGCAATGAACTCTAAAATAAGGCTGAATGTAAACAATTTTGTCACTGGATGTTGTTGGGTCCTGAAAGTAAATTAAAGTTAAATTAAATATATTTATTTGTTCAATATAAGAAGTTATAGATGGAAATTAAAATACTGTTTGTCAAACATCACTTTCTTTAAGTCTACTCCCATTTAAAAATTAAGTAGGTTCCATTGACCAGAGAAGAAATGGCAAACTAAACTCCATAGGTATCAAGTAAAAGTATACTATCGGTAACATAAGCATGATTTACGATAACAAGTATGCCACACTGAGAATAATCTCACAAAATACAAAGAAGTGTTTACTAAACATACTTGTAATTCCCCATAGGACCAGTCATAACTTTCTGCTAAAGACTACATTTTGTGTTAAAAATACATAGTTTTAATACTCAAGCATGTTAACTAATAGTAACATCATGCATTTGCACAATTTGGTATTGAAATGAAATGATACAATTACACACTCCTTTCTAATCAAAATATTCATTTAAACTATTAAAGATTTAAATTGTTAATGGTTAAGCTGTGTTCATTCCTAAATTGAAGCTTAATATATTATAAGGAATAACAATATAATATATTCATGTACATTGCCCCGTAAATTACTTATTTATCTTAGTTAATCTAAATTTCGGATTATCACTTTTGTTAGTATTTCTTAAATTATGAATGTATTTATCACTATTCTTTGGCATATTATATATTCATTTTTATGTACATATATATTTTCATATAATTACATATGAATATTGGCTTGTAATATGAATATTGGCTTGTAAAACTTAGATTTTTTTTAACATATCCTAGTGCAAATTATAAATTGCATGTATTTCTCTTAAATGCAAAATTAGAAAATTTTTCGCGTCATCTGTATGTCCTCACAATAAAATACCATAAGACATGATGCTGTGAAGATAAATAACCTAACAGTAGCCATTATAACCTAGTAGTTGTTAAAATCTAAACTGTAGACTGTTCACTGTTGAATATAGGTCGTAGTAGATTGCGTTTGTTGTGATTACCATACTCAGCAGCTGGATAACTTCAAGTGCCAGACATCTTACACTACACGCTACTCACCATTACTGGATACCACAACTAGCATAAAGAAGACAGTTATACCATATTATCTATTAGAGGATAAAGATCTTTTTGGCTTGGTACTATAGTCAATATTTTCCTGGAAGAGACATGCTAGATTGCCTCTCTCTGGTGCCAAATAGCAAATAGTTTTATTATTACCAATCTTAACAAGTACTTTTAGTAAAAAAAAACATACCTCATAGCATATATCTGCACTGGCACCAAAATAACATAGCACAGCCAGAATAACAAATATAATTCCAGTGTATTTTGTCTGTCAAATGAGAATTGATAAACCAGTGTATTAAATAAAGACGTGTTTGGACTTCCATTAACAAGCCAGAAATCATAGTCAATATTCTGTGGTGAGTTTGTTAATGTTTTATTATCCATTGAAGGTGCTCCTGTGTAATGGTGCCATGAACATGTTGCTTCATCCAAATAACATGACACCATTGATATATACCAAAATCTGTTGATTTAAAATATAATAAATATTTTCATTAAACATACAATGAAATTATTACATATCACATATAAATGTATTGTGTTGGGGTTAGTGAATTAAGTGTTTGGTTCATTCAGTTATTACTACAGGCAATCTCTTGGCAATTAAGTATCAAATTTGTAAAAAAATTGACGGCTCCGTGGCGCAGTGGCTTAGCAATGAGTTGCTGCGCTAGGGGGCCCGGGTTTGAATCCCACATGGAATAAGTATTTGTATGGCCTACAAATAATTGTTCTGGGTCTGGATGTTTGTCCTTGTGCAATTTCTGTTTGTAAGCTGCCTCCACGATACAGGAGAAAATCCTAGTGTGGACGTAACGTTTTTTAAAAAAAAATCTAAAAAAAATCAATTATTTTTATACAACGTGTCCCAAAATTCAACGATAAGCCAACACCAGAGGATAGACCTGCCCCGGACTAATCGGGTAAAAAAAGAAAAAAAAATATATCCCAATTATATTTTAAGTTATATAAAAAAAATGAAATTCTTCAGAAATTGAGACCGTTTATGATATTTTTCACTACCATGACCACAATTTTGTAAATATTTTTTTCTTTTTTTTTTATAGGCAACCTGAATAGTACTGCTATCTACCACAATTCTTAAAAACTCCAGAATAACTCTTGTTTTATCACGAAAATTAATGAAACTTATTTTATTCCCTAAATTTTTTGAAGACTTTTACTTTTAACTAAATTTAACTAATCGTGGTGTAAAAAAAAAGTATGAACACTAGTATGGCAAGTTTTTTTAAAAATTGACGCAACTAACCAATATTCCAAAATGGTATAATACTCTAGGAAAACAAGTTATAAAAAAATATGGGCCTATTATTTCTTAACAGGGGCCAAATGACGGTCGGGTGTAATAAAAGTATTATTTCTTGAAAAATGTTTAATATTTCAAAACAAATGGTACAAACAGTTTCACGTGTAATTTATTAAGTTATTAACATTATAGCAAATGTTCGAACTGTTTGCCACCAGCATTAATACATGCACGACATCGCCTTAAAAATGATCGTTTTATTTGTCTTGCATATCTTCTGCTATTAATGTAATCAGCAGCCTGAGTGATATTTCGACGAAGCTCGTCCAATGTCACAATGGGTTTTGAGTAGACCCTGTTTTTAAGACAACCCCAATAGAAGAAGTCCAGGGGGTTCAAATCGGGTGAACGGGGTGGCCATAAGATAGGACCAAGTCGCCCGATCCAACGCCCTGGATACTCTTGATTTAAATATTCTCGCACAGGACGGGCATAATGTGCTAGGCAACCATCATTTTGGAACCACATGTTTTGAAGATCACTTAAGGGCACGTCGTTTAACAATTCTTGCAAGTCATTTTGTAAAAAGTTTAAATAACTATTGCCATCTAAGTTTCCTTGTAACTCAAAGGGCCCAATTACTTTTCCATTTAATATGCCGGTCCATAGGTTAACCTTCAATTGATATTGGGATTTGTCTTGTCTCATCAAGTGTGGATTTTCATTACTCCAACTATGTAGATTGTGAAGATTTAAATACCCATCTTTCTTGCACGTTGTTTCATCCGACCATAGAATTTTGTCTAGGAAGTGGGGATCTTCACTGTGCCTTTGCAGCATTACACGGCAAAATGTGACCCGTAGCGGATAGTCCCGCGGTAATAACGTCTGCACACGCCTGTAGTGATATGGGTGAAGCTTGTGACGTTTTAATATTCGATGTGCAGAACTTTTCGGGATTCCTGTAGCTTCTTCTATGGCACGTACCGAAGTAGTCGAGTCATTTTCTATCTCCTTGAGAACTTCTTCATCACGATCCAATCTAGGTCTTCCAGCGCTGCTCCTATTGGATGGCATACGACCCTCCGAAAACGCTTGATGCACATTAATAAACACTCGATAATCAGGATATCTTTGAGCATTTGGGTATCTTTCTGGATACAGTCTGCTAGCAGCGTTAGCATTACATCGGCATTCTCCATAGATTAAATGCATATTAGCGTATTCCTGTGGTGTGTACGGTTGCGGCATGTTAAACGCCAAACAGTCCAAAATGCGCCAGAACTCTAAATCACAAAACACACAATCGTAGTCCAAGATAATGCCAGGTCAGTTCAGTTTGCAGATCACTTCCAGTCCAAATAATGCCAGGTCAGTTAAGTTTGCAGGTCGATTCCAGTCCAAAAAGCCAAGCCAAAAGTCGATAGTATGTACGAGGGCCACGTAAGTTGAATTGGGTACGGTGCGCAGTAAACAAAGGAGCAGAGCGTACTGAACCGACTTGCTGAGAATAATAACAGCTTCTCTACCTGCCCTGTTGTTGTCTCTTTTTAACGTAAATATCTCTATCTATCTATCTCTCTCTAACATCTAAGGTATTAATGCCCCATTCGAATTCCTAGAAATTGTAACAGGAACCCATTTTGGGCATGTAGTAAAAGTGATTACTGACAATTACAATTTAAGGAATTTGGCCCCTGTTAAGAAATAATAGGCCCATATTTTTTTATAACTTGTTTTCCTAGAGTATTATACCATTTTGGAATATTGGTTAGTTGCGTCAATTTTTAAAAAAACTTGCCATACTAGTGTTCATACTTTTTTTTTACACCACGATAAGTTAAATTTGGTTAAAAGTAAAAGTCTTCAAAAAATTTAGGGAATAAAATAAGTTTCATTAATTTTTGTAATAAAACAAGAGTTATTCTGGAGTTTTTAAGAATTGTGGTAGATAGCAGTACTATTCAGGTTGCCTATAAAAAAAAAAGAAAAAAATATTTAAAAAATTGTGGTCATGGTAGTGAAAAATATCATAAACGGTCTCAATTTCTGAAGAATTTCATTTTTTTTATATAACTTAAAATATAATTGCGATATATTTTTTTTTCTTTTTTTACCCGATTAGTCCGGGGCAGGTCTATCCTCCGGTGTTGGCTTATCGTTGAATTTTGGGACACGTTGTATATGTAATGAAAACACTATATTAAAACAGGGGGCTTCTACAGTTCCTACGGTGTCACAATTTGAAGGCTGATTAAAACAGATTTCGATAACATATGCCAAAAAGTAAGAATAAAAAATTTCTTTATCTCGCTTAGTTTCCGAGATATAGATATGCAAAAGTTAATAATTTTTTTACACAGGAATATTCACCCAAAGTTACTTCTGCAACGACACTCTACTTCTTCAAATCGTGACACCGTAAGCACTCTAGTTGTGCTTAATACAGCATTTTGTAAACTGACAATGGAAATTATCAATACTCTTGATGTATTTGTTAAGTTTTTCATTTCAATAGATTGAAAATGAATAAACCTTTAGTGACAAATATTTAATTGTAGATTGCGCGCGTCTACGGGTGCCTCTATAGGTCCCATAGCGGTAATGCCGAAACAGACCGACTCATCGACCACGTCCAAATGGCTACAGATTCCTTGCTACAACAGGTCCCATCCACAGAGATCGTGATCCTTGGCGATTTTAACGCCCACCATGCCGAATGGCTCGGTTCACGTTTAACCAATCATGCGGGGGGATCTGTTTATGACTTTGCCTTGGCATATGGTCTGACACAACTGGTTACTTCGCCTATGCGGATTCCAGATGTGGAGGATCATACACCTTCCCTGTTGGACCTTCTGCTGACCTCTCATCCGGACGGATATCAGGTTTCCGTCGATGCCCCTCTCGGCTCTTCGGACCATTGTCTGATCCGGAGTGTAGTGCCACTCACGCTCCCTTCGCGGTTGCGTTCTGCAGGTTGCCGCCGTGTTTGGCATTACAGGTCGGCGGATTGGGACGGAATGCGGTCTTTCTTTGCATCCTACCCATGGATTTGCTTCTCGCCGGATGATCCCAGCGCTGTTGCTGACTCTGTCACTGATGTGGTGCTACAGGGAATGGAACTATTTATTCCATCATCTGTGGTACCCATCGGAGGCAGATCTCAGCCTTGGTTTGGTCGCTCCTGTAAGACTGCATTACACAGTAAGCAGGAGTGTTATCAAGCCTGGGCTGCGGCTTCGGCGATTCGGGATGTAAACACCAGCACACTTAAAAAGAAGTATAACTTCGCCTCCAGGTCCTTCAAAAGAGTTATTGCCAAGGCAAAGTCAGAGCACATAGGCAGAATTGGCGAGAAACTAGTTCGCCTTCCTTCGGGAACCCGTGCATTCTGGTCTTTCGCCAAGGCTGTCCAAGGGAATTTCTGTAAGCCATCACTACCATCTCTGCACAGGGAGGACGACTCACTGGCCCAAGACGCAAAAGACAAAGCTGACCTTTTTGCGTCCAACTCGACTCTTGATGACGGGGAGAAAACACCGCCGACCATCCCGCGGTGTGAGTGCTCCATGCCGGATGTGCTGTTCTCACAGTGCTCGGTTCGCAAAGCACTCCTCTCCCTGGACATCCAGAAGTCTAGTGGGCCTGACGGAATCCCCCCAATTGTGCTGAGGACGTGTGCTCCGAACTTGGCACCGGTCCTAACGCGTCCGGTACTCCTACTCCCAAGGCATAGTCCCGAATTCATGGAAGACAGCTTTTGTTCACCCGATCCCTAAAAAAGGCGACCGCTCAGACCCGTCCAACTATAGGCCTATCGCGATCACCGCCTTGTTCTCCAAAATAATGGAATCCATTATTAACTGCCAGCTCATCCGGTACCTTGAGGATCACCAGCTGATTAGTGACCGCCAATACGGTTTTCGTCGTGGTCTATCAGCTGGTAATCTTCTGGTCTCCCTGACTCATAGATGGGCGGAAGCAGTAGAGTCCAAGGGGGAGGCATTGGCCGTTAGTCTGGACAATGCGAAGGCCTTCGATCGGGTTTGGCACAAAGCGCTTCTTTCAAAGCTCCCTTCCTATGGGCTTCCCGAGAAATTGTGCAATTGGATCACCAGCTTCCTTGCAGATCGGAGCATCAAGGTCGTTGTAGACGGTACATGTTCTGACTACAAGCCTATTAACGCTGGTGTTCCACAAGGCTGTGTGCTATCACCAACGCTGTTTCTTCTGCATATAAATGATATGTTGCTAACTGGTAACATTCATTGCTATGTGGATGACAGCACTGGTGATGCTCTATACACTGGCCGTGCCAATATTTCTCGGGAAAACGTCGCCGAGTACCGGAACAAACTTGTGTCTGAAGTCAAGTCTTTGCTGAACAAAGTCTCGGATTGGGGGCGACTAAATCTAGTCCAGTTTAATCCAACAAGTTTTCAATCCACACAAGTTTGCGCGTTTACCGCTAAAAAGAACCCCTTTGTCGTATCTCCTCAGTTTCAAGGCACTCCCCTTCTTGCCTCAGCCAGTATCGGTATCCTCGGAGTCGACATATCGAGTGACGTGCAGTTTCGTGGTCACTTGGAAGAGAAGGCCAAATTGGCCTCTAAAAAGCTTGGCGTGCTCAGCAAAGCTGGACAGTATTTCATGCCGGCACACCGCCTGCAACTTTACAAGGCGCAGGTTCGGCCTCACATGGAATACTGTTCCCATCTCTGGGCAGGGGCTCCCCAGTGCCAGCTCCTTCCACTTGACCGCATCCAGTGCAGAGCGGCTCGAATCGTCGACGACCGAGCCCTTTCCAATCGACTCGATTCATTGTCACTGCGAAGAGATGTTGCATCCCTTTGCATTTTCTTTTGCATCTACCATGGGGAGTGCTCTGAGGAATTGTTCGGATTAATCCCAGCCAAATTTCACGAACGCACATCGCGGCAGAACTCCCGATACCATCCACACCATCTGGATGATTGGCGGTCCACCACTGTGCGATTTAAAATGTTTTCTTCCTCGCACGACTTCCTTGTGGAATCAATTACCATCAGCGATTTTTCCGGACCGATACGACTTAGGGACCTTCAAGAAAAGAACGTACTCCTTTTTAAAAGGCCGGCAACGCATCTGCAATTCCCTCCCTGGTGTTGCAGTTGTTCATGGGCGGCGGTAGTCACTTACCATCAGGTGAGCCGCATGCTCGTTTGCCCCCCCTCCTATAAAAAAAAAAACTAAGTATAGGTAGCTCTGAGATGCTATTTTCTAAAATTTTAAATAAATCTGTAAACTTTTGATGGAAATATAATTTCTTCATTAAAACATAATGGGAAAACATATATGGGTGTTAAATTAAAGTCACCATTGTTGCTGCATGTTGTATAAGGATTTTATCCTGTATTGTGGAATTGTTCCACTTATATAATTTGAACAATTGTTAGTAGGCAATACAAACATATGTGCCACCTAAAATTTAACCCCATAGCACTGCAGTAAAATGCTTAGTAACTATGGAGCTCTCATTGATACCAAATTAAAAAAATCTACAAATATATTAAACAAAAAACAAGAACCTTTTAAAATACTTTTCCTTTGCATATGCCTAGCATTGTGGACTTTTTTACCTAAAATGTTTAAAATATTACCCTCACAGTAGTATTTTCTCCTATTGTGCAGAGGTGGTATAAATACAAGAAGTCATTAAGTATGGAAAAAAGCCCAATTAATTACATAAATGCTTAATTACCTTGGTTGGCCTGTATTTTGAATCACATAAGTAAATTGATTATTTCTAATAACATTCCATGGTGTATCTTCATCTATACATAATTTTCCTTTCGTACATGGGATCCGTCTAAATAAATCCTGACCACATACGTTACATTTCGGATGATAAGCAGATATGTTCAAATTTTGGAACATAATCTGGCAAGCAGCTTCTTTATCGATAATATCCCTGTTTTTGTAATAGTGAATAAAATGTCTTCTATCTAAAACAGCGAATGTGATAGGATATTTAAAATGTTCATTCGAGGTAATATTCCCAAATATATACCCATATGTTTCCTTTTGGAAATGGATATCTGTTTTTTGGAATCCGAATTTAACTAGGAACTTAAAAAACTCTTTTGTAGAAAATTGGCCTTTTATGTGTGCTGAAGATGCACAGATAAATAAAGTGCAAAATAATAAAAATACAACTTTGAAAATACACATCTTGTTGAAAAAACGATCCTTTCAATTTAATACAGCCACAACACCGTTTCATATATTCCTTCCATAACTTTCCACAATGCAACCATTTCATAACTCATTTTTTAACTTGTATTAAGACGTTATCCAAATACTTTCAGAATATTAAGCAGTTTACTGAAAAATATGAAAATAAAATAGTATTTAGCTACTATCAAGGCAAGGTACTTCAGTAACTTCAGTTCTAAAACGTCAAAAAACTAGGCATGAGACCGATATATCAAAACGTAACTAATAACGTTATGTCATCAAATATCATATCATATCGATAAACCTAAGTACATAACCGTTATCACATATCCAACCAAAACCAACGTATTAAACGTAAAACGCAAACTGGAACGATATGCCAACACAGCCCAAAACTAACCGATGTCCTTCGTTGATATTCGTTGTTTTATAAATATGTATGAAAGAGATGAAGCGAATATGGATTTCGTTGCGATGTTTTGGTGCTTATCACACAACTGGGCACATAGTGAAATATAATTAATTACCAAGTGGCATAAGGTTGAATTTTAAATGGTTAAAATTGCCTAATTTTTAAGTTTGTGTAGTTTTCAGAGTTGTCAAATTTATAAGATCTTTAGAACATTAGACACAAGACTTAGATTTGTATGACCATATTATTATATTTGGTTTAGGCATTTTGTCATGTTTTGGATGGAAAGTTTAGAATTTGAATTCTTTTCAAAACACAACAATTACGCACTTGACCTTGGTGGCACGTGCCATTCACTAAGATATTATCTATAAATTTATAAATTTTTGGCGTTGCGTTCGTGCATTTATTTGCAATATATTATTTGTGTACATTGTGTACATTAGTTTTAATTCAGACAGTTATCTGTAAAGTGAAAATATAGAATACTAGAGTTTATGTTGATTTAGACTCTTTTAATATTTTAAATAGCTTTGATCATTATCAAAAAACGTATCGTCTCAAGCACCACAAAGTTGAGGAAATTACGTTTTTAAATGAGATCTTGATAAAAATGATTTGATAAATAAAAAAAATTAAAATAAAAAACAAAAACTATAAAAGGAAAAAATGTGAATACTTCTGTAAATATTTTTACGCCTTGTGTAATCATTTGTTAATACGGCGATTTTTCAATGCGCCAGAAAATTTTTATTTTTATTTTTTATGTAGATACCTCTTGTATCTACTACGTTATGATTAACTTTCTTTATTTTGAAATGTGCGTTGTCTATTTTGTATTTTGTAGAATTCGAATTTAAAACTTTTATGCTAGTCCTAAGCCTAGTTAAGCATGAAGGACAATCGCAAACTTAAATAATCATTAATAAATAAACTACGTAAAAAATCCATATATTAGGATAAATTATGTTTATTTCATATGAATACACTTTAATTATAAGCTTTGTAATCAAACTCTCATCGTACGTCTAACTGTGAAAAAAAAATGGGTATAAAAACTGCGTAACAATGAATTTACATAAATTACATATTAACATACATGTCTAAATATTATATCGAAGATTATCATATTAGAACCTCTGACTTCGAAACTAAAATAGTCTAAGTAATTCGTAAAATAAATGTTGAACTGGTCCAACAGTTTGCGGTTATGTTTCGGTTGTCGTTTGTGCATTCAATAGCAAACCATAACAACTGATATCGATATTTGAAAACGGTTTTCAATAACGATATGAAAACTAAATATCGGTTAAGTAACCGTTGCAGTTAAAAACTGAAAACGCCCACGCTTACAAAAAACGTAGTGAATACGTAGGTCTATGAATGAATAGTGATCACCTTAGAGCAAGGAGCATACTATCTCTGGCAATAGCCTTAGAGCAAGGAACATACCACAGAATAACTAGTAGATTCTTTCTACGGAATGATAATATTACTCTGGCGAGATCCTTAAGCCGGCGCCAAACATAGCAACAACATTTGAACACTTATTTGAAGGACTTTGCACACTTGTTTGAAGGACTTTGCACACTTGTTTGAACGCTTACTGGCGCAACCTGCGAGACATGCTTTGCAAACACGTATCAATAAAAAAATACAAATACAGGATTATCTATTTCATTCATAAGTACTAGTCTGTCATCTTCATCCAAGGACTTTATCTCTTCAGATAACAGCTGACCATACAAATAACATTCATTCGATTGTTTTTTCTGTCTATGCTTAGACCTATTTTTAAAACGTATTGCGTACAACCGCCGCTGGACAACGCTTGCGCGAATGAACTTTGCGCCAGAGTTGCCAACTTTATTTTTTAAGAGATAGTATCATAAACTGGAAAAGATCGTATTTTGCTAAGAACTCAAAAAAAAGATGGTATGCATCAATATTTCAATAAAACAATGGTAAAAAATACAAAAATAGTATTATTATAATGTCAAAGCAAAATTTTACATTTAGGGTATAATCATATAACATTTAAGAATCTGTTACTAAACCTTACTACGAATTTTTAATAAAAAAACGTCAACGTCCTAGGCGCAAATCGAAATTCTTATTCCTAAGAAGCTTTAAATCAATTAACCTGGAGCGTTTGAGAGATGATGTAAATAATATTGACTGGTTCTAAATTCCGAAAATGTTAATGATAAGGTTTATGCTTTTAATCACCTCATTTTAAAACTCTTCGATACACATGCACCACTTAAGCGAGTCAGGGTTAAATAATTTCCAGCCCCCTGGCTTTCAGAGTCTATAAAAGCAGTAATGTCCCAAAAGAGATAAAGCTAAGAGGCGTTATAAGAAGCACTCTACTAATGAAAATTTATTCACATATAAAAAACTACGTAATCGCGGTAGTAAGATGTGTCGTGATGCTAAGAAGAGACATATTTATGATGAGGTTGAAAATTCTCATTCCGCTCAGATGTGGAAATTTCTTAGAACTCTGGGTATAGGCAAATCATATAATGATTCTAATATCTCGTATGATTTGACTGCACTCAACCGGCACTTTTCTGAGCCTCCGATTTCTATTGATGACTCTATTAAGTCTGCGATGCTTAATATTCTCTCCAATATTCCTAAGCCGCTGTGTTCTCCTTTTAATTTCAGTAAAGTTACTGATGGTGAAATAAAAAAATGCCTTTTATCTATTTCGACTAAAGCTATTGGCTATGACAATCTTTGTATGCAAATGATTAAACCTATCACTATAATGAACTTGTCCCTATTATCACTCACATTATCTCTTCGTCGCTTGAGACGAGCTCCTTTCCAACTTGCTGGAAAAAGGCATTCGTCATTCCCCTTCCAAAAACTTCTAATCCTACATCTTTATCCCAATTCCTCCCTATTTCTATTCTTCCGATCTTATCTAAAGTACTAGAAAATATAGTTCAAAGGCAGCTATCTCATTTCCTAACTGTTCACAGCCTGCTGTGTCCTTTTCAATCTGGTTTTCGTCCAGGCCATAGCACAGTCAGCGCTCTGATTAAAGTGTCTGATGACATTCGCTGGGCCATGGACAAAAAACTTCTCACTGTTCTAACATTATTGGACTTCAGCAGTGCATTTAATTCCGTTGATTATGACATACTTCTTGATATTCTTTCGTCCTTAAACATTTCACCATCACTAATCTCTTGGTTTAATTCTTACCTTAGGGGTCGCTCGCAGTGTGTCCGCCATGAGGAGGATTTCTCCGAGTGGTGTTCTTTCCCCACTTCTCTTCTCTATTTTTATCACCGCTCTCAATGTATACTATACTATATTATATATATATATATATATATATATATATATATATATATATGTATATGTTTATTATCTTTATTAATATATATGTATGTAAATCAATAGAAATAAGAAAATAAATTATACTTATATTTTATACACTTATATGTTAATTGTTAACTGTAACTTTAGCCAATTTCTATTAAGTAGTGTTAAGTTAAATATTAAGTACACACGCTGCTACCTACTTGCTTTATATGTAAAACTATTTCGCTTTCCCAATAGGTTTGCTGGAAGAGAACTCTTATTAGGGTTAAGCTCGCCTTTGTACATTTTAATTGAATTTTTAATAATTGTTACCAACTTAAAGTGAGTACAATAAAGAAAGAAAAAAAAGGGGCTTGGCTATGTCCACCCTGCCCTCTATTACAAAAATATATGAATATAAATAACAAAAATATGTAATAGGGCCAAAAAGATCGTATGAATACGATTTAAATCGCAAACATTTGAACACTGTCGACTTTGAACGCTTTGATGTGCGCTAAAAAACCTAAACCGCTTGGCAAAGTGCATTTCTTTGTGCACTTATTTGAACATTGATTCAAAGTCCCTTGCCACACATAGCTTCAAACAAGTGTTCACATGTTTAAAGCTGTATCTGGCGCCGGCTTTAGAGTAATTAATAATAATATAATAATCATTTATTTATACAGGAAAAATTAGGCTTTCTAATATTTTTGAGATAGACGGAAGTATAGAAATAGGCCTATAATTATTCACACGGTTTCTATATCTAGATTTATATATCGGGTGAATTATAGATTTTTTTTTTAAATAGTTAGGGAAAATTCCGTTCGTGAAACATAGATTAAAGATATAAGTCAATGGTGGAATTAGGATAGCCGAAATTTTAAGAAAGTTATTAGAGATTTTAGCCCAACCAACTGTACATTTTGTTTTTAAATTAGATAGTAGTAATAGCAGTAGATAATAATACAAACGAGTCTCTTCTTGTGTTTTTTTTTTATAGAATTACGGTGACAAACGAGCACACAGTCCACCTGATGGTAAGTGGTTGCTGTGGCCCATAGACATCTGCATCTATCTTCGTTTGCAAATTAAAATGCAGATGCGTTGTCAGCCTTGAGGACTAAGATAGAATGCCTCTTTTCCAGTAAAATGGGTCTCCCGTTCTCTACACTCACCATACGAAACACAGTAGCATTAAGCTGCTATTTTACGCTGGTATTCTGTGAGAGCGTGGTCCATCCCCGGTCGAGCCGAG